ATTATCCAAACCAAAATGTATACCAGTCCTTGTTGACCCATTAATGCAGTGCCAGAAGGATCATATTTCACGTCTTTTTGGTACTCTGGGATCGAACAGTGACTCGGGCATGTCAAGAATGTAAAACACCTATGACACAAAACTTGTCCCATCATTATCCAAACCAAAGTGTATACATTCTTGACAAAAGCAGTGAAGGATCTTCAACTCTGGGCCACAGTGACTCAGCATCTCACGTCACTGGTATATAAGAACTACAGTTCAGAGTAAGTAGTGCATCTAGCACTGGTGCCCGTCTGCCCAAGGGACATGTTGCCCTTGACTAATTGGTTCATCTGGATTATCGTCACCTGCCATGACTAACATGGCATGATGCATGGCAACTGGGAGGGAAGGGTATGTGGGTCACGATGTTTCTCGATTCCCACTGTGTGTCTTGGATGAGTAGATCAGGCCCTGAGCACCTGCTGACATGGAGATGAACATGGCTGGAACTAGAACTAGAACACTGGTTTCTGTAGTGAGGTCATATCGTTGCTCAGTTGTTTTGTACGGGGACCAACTCTAGGGTGTGGACCCGTGAAGATCCGGGTTAGAATTGATCTTCAGTGATCGAGTGAGTGAGTTTAGTTTTACGCCACACTCAGCAATATTCCAGCTATATGTCGGCAGTCTGTAAATAATCGAGTCTGGACCAGACAATGCAGTGATCAACAGCATTTGCATCGATCTGTGCAATTCGGAACTGATCACCCGATCGTGTTAGTCGCCTCTTATGACAAGCATGGGTTACTGAAGGTTCATTCTAACAAGCACTTCACGGTTCTGATCTTCAGTAACCCATGCTTCACGGTCTGATCTTCAGTGGTCACGTGATGAGGTGGTCAGACATGCTGACTTGGTTGACACATGTAATAGAATCCTAGATCGATGCTCTTGCTGTTGATCACTGGATTGTCTGGTCCAGACCTGATTATATACAGACCGCTGCCATATAGCTGGAATATTGCTGAGTGCGGCTTAAAACTAAACTCACTCACTCACTTCATTTTTAGGGTGCAGTGCTGGAGCATCTGCCCGGAAAATGTGGTGGTTCTATGATGCCAAAAGATGTTACAAGATACTTATTGTTAGTTACAGTGTGCCTGGTATTAGGGGATATACACATCTGGACCAGAGGCAGTATGTGTGTGAGTAGGGGATCCTGGTTAAATTGTATCTGAATGAGTTCTTGTATACAGTCCACACAGGTAACTCCCAGAAGAAGCAGCCACACATGAATATTTATTCTCATTAGTGAAATAGTCTAGAGTGCTTGTTACCCCTATTTCACCTGATGTACCTGGAGTATGTAGCTGCAGATTGTCCAGATTACCCACATGGGTATATAGAGGCTGTATGGCTGCATGGTTTGAAATGAAGCTGGATCTGAAGATGCATTTGACAAAATCTTACTTGGCTTCAGTGCTGCATCATTAATGCTCACACTATTGGTCACTGGTTTGTGGCTATGAGGAATTGTCATGTTCCCATTTCTTGCTGAATGAATTTTGCAAGTTACTAAGTGTCTGATCAAAGGAGGTCCTGAACATCACATCAAGACAAATATTGTGTATTTCTTGCCTGTATGCAAGGATATGACAAATATCAGCTCAGTTCATCCATAGTTCATCCACAGTTTTCACGTGAAAATGGCATTGAACAGTGGATGTTTTCATCTACAGCTTTGTGCTATACACTCCTTCACAGACTCCTCTACTTCTTCCTTCACTCTGTCATTTACTCCGTCATTCACACTCTGTCTGGAGTCCTTGCTGTGATATTGCTGGAATGTTGCTAAAAGTGGCATAAAACAATACTTACTTATTCGCTCATTCTTTCATTTATTCCCTCACTCATTTCTTCACTTCTTCACTGGGGTTGTGCAGGGTTTTACCCAGACTTTTAAAAATGGTAGTCATGGTGACTCAGAATATTTATTTTTGGGAGTCATTTTCAATATTTGGGAGTCATGAAACTTTGATGTTTCTTTGTGTTTATCATTCTCAGTATGTAACTGTGTATGTCACACCACCAAATGAAACTACAGCATTGTTTAATTCAAACAGCCAGGATTACTGTCTCCTCTGAGTTCTCTGGAACAATCTGACAGCTCTGTAAAAGTCAAACTATCATCGAACAATATCATGTTTTGCTTATCAAATCATTTTTATTGAACTGAATTGTGAAAGCCACCTATAAAACTTGCATCAAGCTTCACTCGTATGATAGTATTTTGAGAGTTTTTAACAAAATTGTTGCATCAAATGAGCAGGAATCACGCGTCATGTAAAACCCTGGCGGTGGGGTAGCTTAATGGTTAAAGCGTTAGCTTGTCACACTGGAGACACCGTTTTGATTCTCCACATGCGTACAATGCGTGAAGCCCATTTCTGGTGTCCCCTGCCAGGATATTGCTGGAATATTGCTAAAAGCGGCGTAAAACCATACTCATTCCTTCACTCCTCCATTTAATTCTCTTCACTCTCCTTCATTCTCACCTCCACTCAGTCCTTTATTCACCTATTCCCTCCCTCACTCCTTTTCTGACTCTCTATTGTGATCGGGCGGTGGGGTAGTCTAGTGGTTAAAGTGTTGGCTCGTCACGCCGATGACCAGGGTTCGATTCCCCACATGGGTACAATGTGTGAAGCCCATTTCTGGTGTCCCCCGCCATGATATTGCTGGAATATTGCTAAAAGCGGCGTAAAACCATTCTCATTCCTTCACTCCTCCATTTAATTCTCTTCACTCTCCTTCATTCTCACCTCCACTCAGTCCTTTATTCACCTATTCCTTCACTCACTCCTCTGACTCTCTATTGTGATCACTACTCACCAGACATTCAGCCCATACAGTTTGTACCCTGTTTACTTCCTATAACCAGTGCATAGATCCTGAACAAAACACTGTCCCTCAGCGTCGTCCACAAGCTGTTTGTTCAGTCAGGTGCTGTATTGCCACTTGTTCAAGGCCAACACAACACCTACCATTGACAGACCCAGCATATTTATGGTGGCAGAGTACATTTGCATGTATTTTATCTGTCAACGTGTAGAGACATAACAGTAGCCACTTGGGAGGTTTCTTGCAATTAAAAATAGATGCACGTTAACAAGAAACATACTTGAAAACTCAGTTGATTGAGATGGAATATCTCCACAGTTAATCTCATTAATATTTTTAACAATTATTTTGTATAATTAGTACTTTTTCCAAGTATGTCAACCATGTAGAAAGATGAAGGAAAACCAAGTTCTATGGATAGTCAACTTCTTTATTGCAATGAGTGCGACGTTTCAGTGTAGGTACTAACACCGTTATCAAGGAAGATGGTATCACTTGCTTGATAATGGTGTTAGTACCTACACCGAAATGTCGCACTCATTGCAATAAAGAAGTTGATTATCCATAGAACTTGGTTTTCCTTCATCTATACAACTTCTAAAATGTCTCAAAGAAGACATGTAGAAAGATGTTTCCGCAAATCATTCCTGTCTTGCTTGCACACGTTTTTTGATTGTTTTTTGCCCCTTATACGCTTCATAACTTGCCAAATATAAAATACTTTTAGTATGCAAAAGGAATATTACTTTGGTGATTTTTATTTTTATTTTTTCCCTCCTGCCTTTAGGTTTTCTGAGGACAAAAATCTGTAAAACAAGAAATAAAATTGGTCTGGCCTTACCTGTAATTCAAAACAGTTCAGCTGTAAGGCTTCTGTTCTGCTCAATACTTTCCATGTGAAACATGGCTTTCAGTAGTGTCAGAGTTTTACCTTGACTTACAAAAGTGTAGGTCTGAGTATTAAATGTGGAGAGAATGTGCCAGTCATGGTTTGTTTTGTTTTATGCATCAGTCTGAACCTTACCATGTCAATATTTGACAGAGCTAGCATCTTTAGTTTGGTATTGATGTTAATGTAAAGCTATGCCTTAGTTTTGTAAGCAAACATACAACATTTAATGCATTTCAATTGTGCTTGTTGAAAAGACATTTTTGTCTTCACCAGGAGACAGAAATCAATGAGTCAATATTTACACTGCTAAACATTCGAGTGACTTAAATGACAAAAATAGAAAGATCCTTGCAACAAAGATTGAATAATTGTGATGAGCATTCAGCTGTAACGAAAGCTCTGTATGTGTGAGTGATGTGTGTTAATAATATATACCTCTCTCCATGAGATCTTCAATTGACAGCTGGAACAATTGGTTGCTATTTGTTAATCCGTCGCTGTACGGGAGAAAATCCCCTGTGTCTGAGTAAATGGAAGGATGTCATCAGGGTGATGCAATATTTTTGTTTGTGAACATTATAGTAGTAAGTTCACTAGATTTATTAACACGATGAAATGACCCTGTGTTTTATGCATTGGGAGTGAGAGAGTTTTGTTTTATGCAGGGTATGTGGGTCACGAGGTTTCTCGATTTCCACTGTGTGTCTTGGATGAGTAGATCAGGTCCTGAGCACCTGCTGACATGGAGATGAACATGGCTGGAACTAGAACTAGAACACTGGTTTCTGTAGTGAGGGCATAGCGTTGCTCAGTTGTTTTGTACAGGGACCAACTCTAGGGTGTGGACCCGTGAAGATCCGGGTTAGAATTGATCTTCAGTGATCGAGTGAGTGAGTTTAGTTTTACGCCACACTCAGCAATATTCCAGCTATATGTCAGCAGTCTGTAAATAATCGAGTCTGGACCAGACAATCCCGTGATCAACAGCATTTGCATTGATCTACGCAACTGAAATTTATGCATTGTGATGCAGTGTTTACATGCAGATATGGAATTAATACACAGGTATACAGAATTGCAAACAACAGTTTTGCAGTTACCATGTGATATATTCTTGTTTGGTTGTTTTTTTTACTCCCATGAGGGTTCAAGGGAAGAATGAGTCTCAAGTACACCATGCTTGTGGTCAATCCACATTTTGAGTATTTTTCTCTTTTTCCAGTTGAAGACAGAGGAAGATGCTAAACTTGGACGTATCCTGAGCAAACAACGGTTCCACCAGAACCAGCTTCAAACCCAGACACGTCCAGTCAGAACAGACACACTCACACCTCGGTCGCTGGACACCTCAGGTGAGTGAACTTCTTTGTCAGCAGTGTCAGGTATAGTGCCATGTGCTGCTGTCTGTGGACTGAAACTAATTCTACTGTTGAAATGTGACCAAACTCCCATCAGTTGATTCACACTATGTGACAAAGACAATCAACTAGGTCACACATTGTAATGAACATTGAGCAGTGCTGAGTTTAGTTGACTCTTACTGCAGGCATGCTGGGAGCTGGACTAACACTTAGTTGCTGAACATATATTATTTTGATAGTAACAAATAAACACATTTAAACTGAAAAAGAACCCCAGTCAGATGAGAAATTACCTGAGGGAATCTAGACTTGCTTCATTTAGGGCTTTAGCATTGCAGGGAGGGCAAGGCAGTAGGAAAATTAACGTGGTTCAGGGACTGTGAGATAGGCAAACTGGGAACCTGTTTCTTAGAAATCCACAAGTGGCAGTAGAAAGGCTGTCAAGTTTGAGAAAACGTTCCTTCAAACCTAAAACTTCTATGCTGGGTACTAAGAGGCGTGGCCATTCAGTCATGGACACTGGTTATCACTGGTCAGTAGTGTTCTATTCATCATGGAGGGAATGCCTAACTGACTGACTGAGTTTGGTTTACACCCCTTTTAGGAATATTCCAGAAGCATCACGGCGGGGGACACTAGAAATGGGCTTCACACATTGTACTCATGTGGGGATTCGAACCCAGGTCTTCGGCATGACGAGCAAACGCTTTAACCACTAGGCTACCCCACCGCGCCATGAATGCCTGATATATTACGTGAACCCTTACTGACATTAATGAGTTGGAAGTGATCTGAATGATTGGGTTTTTTATTTCTCTCTGGAATGGAAAAAACCTGAATGACTGTCTGTCTGAGACTGTAGTTGCTTATTGTCTGGGACCGACACAAGACTGGACCCCTTCCTAGGGCAGTTTGAAAGTGTGATAACATTAATCAGAGTTCCATTTACACCAGAGCAGATTTTCACTGAGATCTCTTCAGGTGAATACCTAGTTGATTAACAAGTCCATTGTGTAACCTTCCATACAAATGATCTTGCTCTCCCAACCCAAGAGGACTTTCCCTTTGTTGAGAGTCGCTGGCTTGTGATCTGGCCTGGAAGACCCACAGGTGTAACGTCTGGTTTACACTGCAGCCATTATTCAATGTCAGCCAGTAGACAAGAAGTGTCTGATTCAAGAGGATTTCAGCATTGTGTACTTATGAAGATAAGCATACAGCAATCAGGGCCACAGTTATGACTTTTACCCAGGTGAAGGGACTGTATTAAATTGTCATCGGTGATAAATTAAATTCAGTCTGCCAGTCTTTTCCTCTTCTGTTTGGCCATTCTCTGTTGTCAAGGTATGGTTGAATCCAAGCCAGACGGTCAGATCAAGTGGGGTTACATGTTCGTAATCTGAAATCCAATACTGTCCCCATTACATACAGAGTCCCCCCCTGTATAGATGCATAGAAGTACTCTGTGGTTGCTCCATAGATGTTTCTCAAGGACCTTTGTGAAGTGAGTGCTTGAGTAGATCCAAGGATATGAAGTCAGTGCTGGAGCTGTAATTGTAAGTCCCTCTAAGTAGTTCATGGTTCGCACAGATGGAATTACAGTGTGTTCGATAATGATGACTGCTGGCATATAAGTGAATTCATTCCTTAGTCTATTGACACCATGCTCACAGGTTAATATGAACTGGTAAACTTATCAAGTCTGTATCACTTTAGTATTGAAAGGAAATTAACCAACAATGTCTACAGCATGATTAGTGATAACATACTTCAAACCTTGCCAAAATGTTTGAAATTTTACCAACATGGGCACTTCAAGTACAGGCTTTTGCTTTGGGGTAGTCTAAAAGTGCGTTGTCACACCGAAGACCCGGTTGAATCCCCATATGGGTACAATGAGTGAAGCCCATTTCATGGTGTCCCCGCCGTGATATTGCTGGAATATTGCTAAAAGCGGTGTAAAACCAAACTCAGTCAGTCAGTCAGTCAGTGCTATTTTCCACCCATGTTTTAGGCTTTCCTTCTATATTATCTTAGCACATTGTGATGTATCTGACATGCTGTTCAGATCAGTGCTACAATCATGCAGCTCATTTCTGGTGCAGCTGCGTGCTGTTGCCATTTAGGGCGTGAAAACCAAATGGGTAGCCAGTCAGTGGTTAAAGCATTGCAGCTGCACGTTCATTTAGAGCGATGGGGTAGCCTAGTGGTTAACGCATTCGGTCATCATGCCCAAGGCCCATGTTCGATTCCCTACATGGGTACAATGTGTGAAGCCCATTTCTGGTGTCCCGTGCCCTGATATTGCAAGAATAATGCTAAAAACGGTGTAAAACCAAATTATTCCCTTGATGGAAGTTACTGAAAGTAGTCATGTCTGTGTAGGTAGCTGTGATAAGTTTACCTTCTGTTTCAGGAGAGTCACCTAGGAACAATAACTCTCCACGACAGTGCTCCCAGACCAGTCCAGCCTCTCTGCCCTCCCCACGGGATGCTCACAGACAAGCACCCATAGACAGCTACAGGCACCCAGTCACAGCATGGACAAGTATGTATCCTGGTTTTTTTATCAACCCATGTTAAAACAATTCATGTCTTACAAAATGTGGTTATATCAATGGAATGAGGACAGGAAGACCTGTCTATTGGCCACATGTTTTAGAATGAATGTTTTTGGAAATAATCATCAAAAAGGAGTCAATGTTGAATCAATATGTTAAATGGCAAGGTATCGTTTCACATAATTCTAATCTTTGGACAGAGCTCTGAATTTGTGCTTGGATGCTATAGATAGGACTCTGACCCTTCCGCTGAATACATTCCTTGTCTTTCTGTGTTGTCTTTTCATTGGGGTAACCTAGTGGTTAAAGCATTTGTTCGTCTTTCCCACATGAGTACAATGTGATGTTGCTGCTAAAAGCAACATAAAACAATACTCACTCACTCACTCACTCACTCACTCACTCACTCACTCACTCACTCACTCACTCACTCACTCACTCACTCACTCACTCACTCACTCACTCACTCACTCACTCACTCACTCACTCTGTTGTCCAGTGTTGCTATATCAACCTTTGTGTCCTAGGTGTCCAGGAGGAGTCCAGCTTCACCAGCCGGACGTCGTCCAAGTCTCCGCGTAGTGGTGATGACCTGGTGGTCCAGGACGTCTCAGCTGATGGTCAGTACTAGCACATGGCTTGCCTACTGACTATGAGACAATGTACTGGTGGCTTTTGCCTGAAACATGACTATGAGACAATGTTTACTGGTGTTCATACATTTACTTGTATACAATAGTAATCCGCTCAAACTGGAAATGGTCATGATTCTAGTTTAAATTTTGTTTGATTATGGCATGATGTTTGACTTTGGTTCACCATATGTTTTGTCCTATCAGTATTAAGTCCTGGATTAATCTAGAACTGCTCCAATGCCAACATTTGGTTCTTGAAAATAAATACACAGTAAAAATTTCATGTTGAATGGTATCTCAGAATTTTCAAAACTTGCCTTGATGTCCTGGATAAATCCCTGATTAAACTCTTTTTTCGTTCAAGATTTCGAGACAAGAAGTAGCACCAGTCTGTTAGACTCAGACTCCATCTATCTTCCCGTGGATGCAACAGGTTCTCCCACTAAACGCCCAATGACTGCGCCAACAGCCACCACCCCTGGCACGGCAGCATTCATCTCCGCTCTCACCTCAAACAATGTACGCCCCTCCACAGGTGTCGCAGACGCTCGAGAAACAAAATACGACTCGCTGGAGAGACGAGTAATCAAACCAATAAACCAGAGCATTGTGAAGGGGCACCTCAAACCCAACTTTGACTTCTCACCGCCTCAGTCATCAGGGACAGGTCCAACTACACGTGTTCGGAGACCAACACCACCTACTGCCGAGAGTCAGGACTATGATACCAGTATAGACGCTGGTAACCATAGCGACCAAGAAAACATGGATAAAGTTCCCATGCAGGAACTGAGTCTTATCAAAGACAAAGTTGGTGCTCGGAAAGCTCAGAGAAGCTCCACTCCATCTATAGAGGAGAGGAAGGCTAAACTGTTCAATAAGAAAGAGAAAAGTGACTCCAATAAAAGCAATATCCCTGTGCCAAATAATCGAGTTGATGCAGTTAGTCAGGCCAAGTCTACCAAGGGTGTTAGTACTGACAGTAAAAGTGTTAAAGGGAGATTAAACCTGGAGAAGTTCGAGGAGGCCGGGAGACACAGAGCCTTGTCAAATACAGGAAGTAGTGTTCGGGATTCAGGCTTCCTGTCAAGACCCTGCAGTGATGCTGTGCTTGGTGATACTACAAGTGAAGGTTGGTTGATCCTTATTGCATAGATCGATGCTCATGATGTTGATCATTGGATTGTAATTCTTTGTAATTCTTGAAACCCGAGGGTCTCCGCCTATACTAGTTTTTCAAAATGACTGCCTGTGACAAAAATGTCGACAAACACAAATATTTGGCAGTTTCTGCAAGAACCTGATCTTGTAATTTGACATCCTTTTCAGTAGATGTTAGTGTTGATATGTTGTTTCTTCAAGCTAGTGGCTAAGCCAGAGACTGTGTCTGCAGTGTTCCAAGACAGAACATGATGGTTGTATCCTTTATTGTGCCCACAGAGCAGCGAGCAGCTACGGTCATACAGGCATGGTGGCGAGGATGTGTGACACGGCTGAATGACCCGAAGGTGATTTCGGTCCGGAAGGAGATCAGAGCACGGAGGGCAGAGGACCACATAGTTCTCCTCAAGGCAGAGCTGGAGAGGTGGGTGGAAAAGTGCCGTGAATAAACTGATGGATATAACAAACCAACAGATGTAACCAACTGTTTTTTTATCCCCGCAACAACGAAGTTGCGGGGGATATAGAAACGAGTCCAGTCCGTCCGTGCGTTCGTCTGTCACACTTTGTCCGAAGCATATCTCCTAAACTATTTGTGCTAGCTTCATCAAACTTGGTACACATGTCAGGCATGATCCCTAGATGTGCCTTTTGGGGGTTAGACCCAGATATGAATTTTATTTTTTGCTGTTTCCATGGAAACGTGACTTAGGCTGTGGCTATGAGGATGTCATCTTGTCCGGAGCAGATCTTCCAAACTATACATGCTAGCTTCATCAAACTTGGTACACATAGCAAGCATGATCCCTAGATGTGCCTTCTGGGGTTTAGACCCAGATATGAATTTTTTTTTTTGTGGTTTCCATGGAAACATGACTTAGGCTGTGGCTATGAGGATGTCATCTTGTTGCATTTCCATGGCAACAAGTTAGGCTTCAACTGAATTTGGTGGTAGTGCTCATTTCTGGAGCAGATCTTAAAAACCTTTCAATACGCTCCTTCCACTTTGCTGTATACATTCCAAAACATTTGACGTAATCATAACTAGTAGACATATTCATAAAGAGTATTTTGTCGTTGAGGGGGATATTGATGACTTTGTCTTCTTGTTTGTCTTGGACTCTTGCTGCATATTTTGACAGATTAATGAAGCAAAAACAAGTCCAATTAGCTAATCCGTTATCTATAATTGATGTTCGGAGACTGAAGCATCGGATTAATGAATCAACAATTGATGTGTTTATATAGTAAACAAGATTGGTTACTTCTAGACCGCCTCCGTGGTGTAGTGATTAGAGCGTCCGCCCGGAGAGCGGAAGGTCACGGGTTCAATCCCCGACCGCATCATACCAAAAGACGTTAAAATATGGTACTTGTTGGTCCCTGTCTGGTGCTCGGCATTAATGGGTACAACAAGGACTGGTCGGCTCAGAGTCAGTTTAATGTGTCTGAGTGAGGTATTCATGCTTCACTGCGGCATGGTATCTCAGTGGGCTAGCACTATAAAACCAACTTAAGTCTGGGCTAGTACAAGCAACCGCACATACACATACACACGCATGCATGTCGTCATATGAGCGAAATATTCTCAAGCATGACGTTAAACCCAATTTCACCTCTTGAGTCTGTTTGAATGGCACGGGAATCAGATTATGGGGGACTGGACTAACCAGGCCTGACTGTAACATACTAAGGTTATAGCGAGTCAAAATCTGGGGTCCCTTTGAGTTTGTTATAACCATAGATTTTTGTTTATGTCATTCTATGCATTAATTGGCTGATTCGATGGCTTCAGTTTGCTAGTCCTGGTCACTGTAAAGTTCTAAACATGACATTGGTATGCAATGTGTGAAGCCCTTTCTTCTGTTCCCCACAGTGATTTGGCTAAACTGTTGCTGAAAAGTGAACCCTTTTCAATTACTCCTTAGTTGAAACTATCAAAATGGCTGCTAATAATCCCAGGTGTTGATGCTTTAATTGTATATTTGATTGATTAATGAACTGAAGTTTCACCATTCAACACAATTGATAGTCTTAAAACAGTGGGTTAATAAGGGTTTTACTTCAGACACAAACATCAGTCGGCAGAGGAGAAGAAGTTGCGAGCTCTGCAGATGGAGGCCATCAAGACGCTGTGGCAGGAGGTGTGTATTTGCCTGTTGGAAGTTTGGTTTCCTAGCGGATTGATTTCCAGTTAAAGTATGTAATTAATATGATTGTGTTCCAAATTATGATTAAGTCCAGGGGTTCTTGTCATTAGCAATATAACTAGACTAAAATGTATTTAAGTTTACTATATTTAATTGTCTTTTCTTAGTGTATGAAATAAGGCCCGTCCAACCACCCAAGACGGGCTAGATTTCCAACGGACAGTCTAAGTTTACAGCTAGCCAGCCCAGTGGTCTGGTGAAAATTTAAGATAACATGTTCCATACATCTGAGTAAAAATTGAGATATTTTCTTTGGATTGTCTGGTCTGGTGAAATCCGTTTTGGCGTGGGAACATTTTAAAGTTACCAGCCCTGATGTTTTTGGTTTATTTCATACACTGCTTTTTTGTTTGACTATTAAACGCTTGAATATGGCTGACTCTCACCCTTCTGTCTCCAGGTTCAGTCCCTCCAGACCTGGAAGGCGGAGGTTCTTTCCTCTCAGTCCTTTCGGTCCTCCCAAGACTCCAACAACAAACACTTCCTGACCGTGTCCAGCAGCCAGAGGACATCCAGTAGCATGGACAGGTCGGACACCCTGGATCGGCTCTCCGACTCCACGCTGCGGTCAGCCTTCAGCCCTGTAGATGTGGAGAGGCAGCGGGACCTGGAGAAGACCTGTGCGAGCCTACAGTCTCAGGTGAGGGCAGAAAGGCAGTGCAGATTGTTTCCTCCAGGATTCACCCAAACTGATGTGGTATAATTGAAATATTGTTGAAAGAGGTGTTCACATCAACTTCCTCATTCATTGTCACATGAACACTGTTGTAGAGCAGTGTTTCACAGAGATAAAGCCATCTCCTTTCCCCTCACTCACTCGCTGTCTCATGAACACTGGTGTTCAGAAGGAAGCTCTCGACACGTTCACTAGTGCTGTGTTTCCCAGTGTTGCAGGCAACTGTGTTCACTCACTATGTGACTTTCCCAGATGTCTTGAACTGAAGGAAGCTCTTAGCACTGTCTCTTGTGCTATGTTTCCTAGTGTTAAACCCAGCTCTGTTCACTCACTCACTCTCTATCATGAATCTTGTTTGTTGGGTGTCAGTCCTGAAAGAGAGTCTCAACAATCTCTCTAACGCTGTATTCCACAGCATTAAAGCCACTTCTGTTCATTCACTCCTTGTCTCATGTACACTATATTTCCCAGGTGTCCCAGCTGAAGGAAGCTCTTGACACTGTCTCCAGTGCTGTTTTCCGCAGTACTTGTTTTACACTCACCCAGGGGCAGGAGGCTGAGGAGACAAGCTCATTACATGTGACTGGCAATGTAGAGGAGTTTGAGAGTCTGGAATCCGACGGCACCCCCTGCTCTGGTCGATGGAGTAAGTACATGTCTATCAGTGTCTCTTTAGGGCCAAGATGGTAGACTTAGAAGTTCTTTTTGGATATATGAATTACATTCTGATGACCATTACATTATTTCATATTGCACTGTGTGCTCCCCTCTGTTAAAGATGTCAACTTGTACAAATAACAACATGAAATTGTTTCTTAAGGCCAGACCAATTTTATTTCTTGTTTTACGGATCCGCTGGTCATATTTTATCAAGAATAAGAAGAAAAAAAATTAGTTAATTTTCCCCGCTCAAAAAATAAATTCCTAAGGTTTTATTGATCAAAACTGTAAATTTACAAGAAAAGGTTTTTTTAGATTGTGTTTTAACCCATATACACTTCATAAATTGCCAAAAGTAAAATACTTTTAGTATTTATTTTTTAATAAAAAATTCCCCTCCTGCCTTTAGGTTTTCTGAGGACAATAATGCGTAAAACAAGAAATAAAATTAGTCTGGCCTAATCAACTGTTTCCAGTGATTGCTTTAAAAATGACAAACAGCAGATATTGTTTGGTACAGGTATTCCTTGTCGTATTAACATTTAATAGACTATTTCTGATTTTGAGTTATTTTGCAATTCATCAATGTAATCTTGAGACAGAGGTGGTCAGCCTCAGTGACTTGGCATCATCATATCTCAACGTCATGGCACATTGCTTGTTACCTTCCTTCATTGTGGGGGCGGTGGGGTAGCCTAATGGTTAAAGCGTTGGCTCGTCACGCCGAAGACCCGGGTTCGAATCCCCACATGGGTACAATGTGTGAAGCCCATTTCTGGTGTCCGCCGCCGTGATGTTGCTGGAATATTGCTAAAAGCGGCGTAAAACCAAACTCAGTCAGTCAGTCAGTCCTTCATTGTGAACAGAGCACTCAGTGACTAGGCATCGTCATATCTCAACGACATGGCACATTGCTTGTTACCTTCCTTCATTGTGAATCGAGCACTCAGTGACTTGGCATCGTCATATCTCAACGACATGGCACATTGCTTGTTACCTTCCTTAATTGTGAACAGAGCACTCAGTGACTAGGCATCGTCATATCTCAACGACATGGCACATTGCTTGTTACCTTCCTTCATTGTGAATCGAGCACTCAGTGACTTGGCATCGTCATATCTCAACGACATGGCACATTGCTTGTTACCTTCCTTCATTGTGAATCGAGCACTCAGTGACTTGGCATCGTCATATCTCAACGACATGGCACATTGCTTGTTACCTTCCTTCATTGTGAATCGAGCACTCAGTGACTTGGCATCGTCAAATCTCAACGACATGGCACATTGCTTGTTACCTTCCTTAATTGTGAACAGAGCACTCAGACAATTCACTTTTTGTGACAGGAATTTAATAGCATAATTTTAGGACAGTATTGACAAATTTCTTCAATATTAGGCCATCGTGTCCTTACAGGTAGTGTACCCCACTCCCTGTCCCCCTACCCCTCAGAGGAGGAGGAGAGTTACTTCCGCCAGGTGCCCCAGCTTGGGGTCCCCACCCCACCCAGAGCTGTCCACCTGGAACACCGGGGTGACAGCTCTGTCATACTGCACTGGCAGACCTCCAGGCTGAGTGATGAGTCCGGGAAAAGCACCAGTATTATAGGTATGTGTCACAACACACAACTGTTACTGTCTGATGCTACTGATTGATTTACAAAAATATTATTTTCAAATTGAACCATGTACAAGTATATTTGATCTGTTTTGTGAAAATATGATATGTTTTGCATATGACATGTAAGTTGCAAACCATATGAGCAAAAATGTTCTAATACATACCCGAAAAACTGTTCAAACCTGACTCAGACTCGTTACATGTATTAAATGATTCCTTCATCCAAACATTTGATAGTCACTGTCATTCTACATGGAACGGGCGGTGGGTAACTAGTGTTAATAAGACCCGGTTTGATTCCCCACATGGGCACAATGTGTGAAGCCCATGGTGTCCCCGTCAGTGGATATTGCTGGAATATTGCTAAAAGCGGCGTTAAACTAAACTCAGTCAGCCAGTCTACATGGAACTCTGTGAACAAGATGTGCTGTATTAATATGCTCATTGACAATACATTTCTATTCATTTCCAGTGACATGTAAATATTTCTTACCATAAAGTGATACAGTTTACATTTGTTTATAAAACTACAAAATGTGTTCATTGCATGACTTCCTTAGAAGCATACTGATACAAGAAAAGAATCCACATCAGTTTGAGCAATTTCCATGTGCTGGTTCCAGGCTACAGAGTGTATGTCAATGAGAAGTGTATGGCCTTGGTCGCAAGTAACAAGACTGTCGCTCTCGTCACGGGGCTCGATTCTAGGACAACATACAAGTGAGTTGATGCAAACTATTCGTCTCATACATAGATAATATTCCTGGAAAATAAGATTGTTATGTAAAATAAGCATTTAATGAAAGGCCTCATAGTAACCAGCTAAATTATCACTATTTTTAGAAAATATTTTATTTTTATGCAAGTGTTGTTGTTTTTGTAATTGATTTTGAAAACAGTGAGAGTTTTTCATTGCCATTATGTATGAAACCTAGTTATTTGGGAATTCAAAACAATGATGATGTACCATTAGGCCAGACCAAATTTATTTCTTGTTTAACGGATTTTTGTCCTCAGAAAACCTAAAGGCAGGAAGGAAAAAACACAATAAAATAAAATCACCAATCAAAGTAATATTCCTTCTAAATGGTAAAAGTATTTTACTTTTGGCAATTTATGAAGTGTATATGGGGCAAAAAACAATCTAAAAATATTTCTTGTAAGTTTACATTTTTGGCCAGTAAAAAAATTAGTATTTATTTTTTGAGCGGGGAAAATTAATTTATTTATTTTGTCTTATTCTTCAAAAAATATGACAGGAGGATCCGTAAAACAAGAAATAAAATTGGTCTGGCCTTATTTTTTTTAATGTTATAATACCATGTTACCTGTGTGTGTAGGTTCTATGTGAAGGCCTTGTCAGGCCTTGGCGAGAGTTACGAGTCCAACATCATCATGGCCAAACTTGCCAAGGGGGCGGAGCAGAGACACGTGTCAGAGAGTAGTGACAGTGACATGCCAGATGACAGCGACAAGGACCATGATTCCACAGAGAGTCACGAGAAACGTCGCCACCGTAAACGTGAGACTCGTAAAAATCGTAAAGTGAAGTCTCCAAGATCAGAGAAAACAAAATCGCATGCAGCAAGAGATGTGGAATTTACAAGTGATGTAAAGTCTGCATCGCCATCAACATCAGAACGGCCACGAACAGCTCGTGCTGTTTCTGATGCTGGAGCGCCTATCCTAACTACACCAAAACGGCACATGCATAAAAGAAACAAGAGTGGTGACTATCAGCAGAGTCAGTTCTCTGACGGCAACATAGACAGTTCTCAAGGTTCCAAACGAGAGTCTGAGGGAAATGTTCAGAGTAGCCCATCAGATCTTCCCCGAGTCTCCTCATCCTCATCTCCATCCAGTGTGTCCAGCTCACCCACCAAATCCTGCCATCATCACCCATCAGTTCTCTCATCTCCTAAGCCTGTTTGTAGTGAAGGCAGCAACAAAACACCTCATCCAAGTGCTCTTACTGACTCTAAAGATGTGACTGTGATGTCAGGAACTTTCACTGTGGACCATGCTAGCTCCTACTTACAAAGCATCACTGCCAGTGTGGTCAAGGAAACTATTGCATCCTCTAAAGCCAAGATTAGGGTATCTCAGGAAAAGGAAGAATCTGTGAAGACTCACCGGAGAAAGAGGAGCAGTGATTTCAAACTGTCTGATTTGACTGATGGGAAGAATGAAGGGAGGGGGGATCGTAGGAGTACGGGGAAGTGGTGATGGGGAGTCAGAGCTGGATGGGGATAGTGTGACACATAGACAGATGGACAGAAAAGATTCAGAGAAACGATTATCAGATGGTGCAAGTGATGACTCCCTTAGAGAAGGGAAAGTAAAAGGTCATCGGAGGAAGCGGAGTAAGGACCTTCAGATTCAGGTCAGTGAATGGAAGAAGGATGAGGAGGCTGCTGGGAAGGCTGGGGAAAAGGCTGAAACTGTTTCTGCTGGTAGAGACTTGGACAATACCAACCAGAACAGGCCTGTTATCGATGGCCGTAAACGGCATTCATCTGGCAGTCGACCTAGCAGTCCTATGCTTGTTGAGGCAGGTGATAAGGAAGTGTTTGAAAAACGAAGGACCCCCATGGCTGAGACTCTTGAACAGAGACTCCTAAGCCTGTCTTCAAAATCAAGTTCTTTAGGGTCTCTTAGCAACAAGGGAGGTAACTCAGATGGAGCAACACGGTCTCGTCAGCTCCCTGATCCAAATTTGGTAATGGAAGAGTCTGGGATGAGGAAGAGGACAGCATCAGTTGGATCAGAAGGCGACCTCTCCCAAAATGCCAAATCGGATCAAAAAGCTTTGCGTCTAAACTGTTGCATAAGCTTCAAACCTTCTCCAAGTCACAGGAGAAGACAATAAGGGAAAGATCCACAAGGAGGAAGAATTCGGGAGAGTCCAGTCGGGACTCAAAGCCTCCGTCAGATGATGAAGGACGCCAGCCACGTGTGCGACGGGTCAGTGACAGTGACCATGAGGCTTCCTCCGACACCAGCAGCATGGCCAGGAAGCAGGGAGACAGCAGCTCAGGGAGTCACTCGGATGACAGCAGGTCCACACGACCCACAAGGACGCATAGAAGGTGGGTGCAATGAGTGACTGATATCCACATGTTAAAGATACTAGTGGAATGGCAGGAATTAGGTTTTAGATTAATAGTGGGTATTGTTCTTATATACTAGAATAAGGAAAAAATAAAAGTACAAGTGTGCCTTTATTTATCTCCTGATTCTCAACCACAGTACAGGGGCGGTGGGGTAGCCTAGTAGTTAAAGCGTTAGCTCGTCACGCCATAGACCCGGGTTCGAATCCCCACATGGGTACAATGTGTGAAGCCCATTTCTGGTGTCCCCCGCCGTGATGTTGCTGGAATATTGCTAATTGCGGCGTAAAACAAAACTCAGTCAGTCAGTCAACCACAGTACAATGTAAAACATGACAAGAAATCCGGAAAAGAATATAGGAACACTTGCACTTTCATGTGTTCCTTTATTTGTTTCCATGAGTATATTTTAGGATTCATAATTTAAGACCACAGTGGTGTTTAGGCAGATGAAAGAGGAGATATGGAAAGTATTTTTCAGGACTCTTTGATCATTTGATCAGTGATACTTTCATGTGATATTAGGTGATGTAGTTGAGAACAACAATAAATAGAGAATCACTTTCAAGCGTCCTTTGAATTTGAAATATGTACATTTATCACAAGCAGTGTTTATAGAGTGACCATCTTTGTTTGTTTATTTATCTTTATTTATGGTAAGCAAACACTTATGTTCTTCCCAGGACACCTTCAGATGGGAAGTTGATGCCGCCCTGGGAGGGAGACCGCCCCACCCACAGCCCCATCATCATGGAGGGCGCAGCCTTCAAGAAGGGCACATCTAATGTCCGTCGACATGCATCCTTCCATGGCCTGCTGCCGTCAAAGCAGGACAAACATGGTGCTCAAGCCTGCGAGGTGAGATCAGTGACAGATGTGTTTGTGCTGCATCAGCAGGTTTGGTGATCCAGCTAGAAATGTGCTATAACTGCTACCCTAATATAGACCAATGAAGTAGTGTTTGTATTAGCTGTTCGGCAGGGTCTACCAGCTCCGGGGTGGTGGGGTAGCCTAGTGGTTAAAGCGTTGGCTCGTCACGCCGAAGACCCAGGTTCGAATCCCCACATGGGTACAATGTGTGAAGCCCATTTCTGGTGTCCCCCGCCATGATGTTGCTGGAATATTGCTAAAAGCGGCGTAAAACCAAACTCAGTCAGTCAGTCAGTCTACCAGCTCCAGTCAGATTCTGGGTAAGACTGTGAGCCAAAATAGTGTTTGGAACATTATTTTGACATCCTTTTTTCAAGAATGTTAGGGATCTGCGATTGTTGACAGGTATGCTATTGTAAAATCAATTGATGCATGTACGAGCTCTCCTTCTTCATCTGGTGAATGTCTGATGGTGTAAAGGAGTAGACAATAGACACCACCAACATCAATCAATACTTCCGACCTGTGATCACTAGCAGTGAAGACTAATTTCGTTGTGTCTTGTAAATATTTCAAGGCTTGTATTATTCACCCTGCTGGCTGCATCATTTGGCTGTTTGTTTATGGCATTTGTCATGCTTTGCTTAAGAAATACAGTTCGCTCTACCACCATGTATAGTGTAATAAAGCACACTTTCGCCCTGAACTATTATAGTTAAAGCACGAGGACGCTTGCTTACATTGTGACGTACTGCAAAATTGTTTGATTATGAGGGGGCAGGCTAGAATGGCATTACATTGTGACGTAATGCAAAAAGTGCACATTATCGTCTAATAAAGTACTGTCAGTGCCTTTGATCTTTCACCAAAGCATCTTAGAATTAAAAATATTCTAGAGATTCCTACAGCTTGAGTTGTTGGTTTCAGGAGGGAGATCCACAGAAGGCTGAGCATGGCAGTATGGCATTACCCACTGTGAGTTTACAATGTGTTTCTCAAGTAGATCACAAGCACCTGTCTTCACTCCAGTTTCTCATATGTGTTCATTGACTCACTCCATATTCATAAGTTTACATCATAAGAAAAACATATCTCAATTATGTATTATTTGAAAATTTAAAAAGGACAAAACATTTTTTTACTTAAAGTGTAAAGTTTGACCAAAGCAATCAAGTTCATCAGAACTGGGATTGTGATAATGAGAATTGTTGCTATGGTAATCCGTATTAAGATATGTCAATCTTAATCCTTGTCCTCACTCCAGACCTCTTCTTTACCATCGTTACATCCTCTGCGTTAAAATCATTTGTCACTAAGATTCTCTCTATCTGTATCAAATCATCATCAGCATCATTATCACTGTGATCATCTCTCACATTATCATGTTTTTCCTCCTCCAGGACTAGCTCACATCTACGGGTGTAAGACAAGGTAGTATTTTGTCTCCAGTTTGTTTCATAATGTTAGCCTAGTTTATGGTTAGAATGTGTAGCCCAAATAGCCTCTTTTCTGGTGGTGTAGTGGTGCCTTTGGTAGTTTTGGAATTCTGAATTAAAATATTTTTGGCGTTTCCATGGCAACAAGTTCGACTTAGCCTGAAATTGGTGGTAGTGCTCTTTTCGAGACAGAACTGTAAAACCGTTCAATATGTCGTCACCAAACTTGGCACATAGATAGATCTGGTGGTGTACTGGTGCCTTTTGGTAGTTTTAGAATTCTGAATCAAATATTTTTGGCGTTTCCATGTCACAAGTTCGACTTAGACTGAAATTGGTGGTAGTGCTCTTTTCGAGACAGAACTCTAAAACCGTTCAATATGTAGAAGTAACCAAACATGGCACATAGATTGATCTGGTGGTGTACTGGTGCCTTTTGGTAGTTTTGGAATTCTGAATCAAATATTTTGGCATTTCCATGGCAACAAGTTTGACTTAGACTGAAATTGGTGGTTGTGCTCTTTTCCGAAGCAGAACTCTAACACCATTCAATATTTCTTCACCAAACTTGGCACATAGATAGATCTGGTGGTGTACTGGTGCCTTTTGGTAGTTTTGGAATTCTGAATAAAATATTTTTGGCATTTCCATGGCAACAAGTTTGACTTACACTGAAATTGGTGATAGTGCTCCTTTCTGGAGCAGAACTTTTAAACCCTTTCAATACTCTCCTTCCACTTTTCTATGTACACACCTAAATATTTGACATAATCATAACTCGTAGACATAATCATGAAGAGTATTTTGCCATTATGGGGATATTGATGACTTTGTCTTCTTGTTGTTTCTGACATAAGTTTAAGCTTAAATCTGTTTTCATTTTTTTTTATTTCAATCTTATTTTCTGTAATCTATTTTAGTTAATTATAAAGGTGTGAATATCTTAGATAGCTTTTGTGATTTGACCTTTGATTTCCTTATAGTGTGAAAGAAATCAACTGCATTTTTTTCTTTACTCATACATTATCCCTCACTATGCAATGCCTTACTGCCACAGGAACAGACATGGTTCCTTACAATTCAACCCTTTAGTACAAGAGTTATCTTGTTTTCACCCAGTTGCCTCTGCACGTGCCTATTTCTTCAGTGTATACAGAATTTGCAGTCCATACTCGTGTTGGCAACAAATGTTGTTGTGCACTTTGATAATGTAACAATTTAGTCTTGATACATCAGAAACAGTTCACAACTAACTGCATGCCTCTCTCTGTTTATCGTGGAACTGAGGTCCAGTAGGGCTTACCTTGATCTTAAAGTTTTACTTGTTTGAGTTTTGTATATCATCAAATCTTGATCCTTAGCAAATTTTTAGTAATATATGTTCTGTCTATCCCCATGTTGACTGAAATAATATATATAGAATAATACACAATTTGTGAAAAGCATAATAAACAATTTTGGTAGTGTTATTGGTGTAGTTCAGTACTATAAAACTATGGCAGCACTGAGCTGTATCAGCTGACTGACAATGAGGCACCAATAGGGTTGAGCAATTTTTAAGCAGTTAAGTAATATGTCAAGTGTACATCATCACAAACAGCACCCAGACCACAATGACATGTATCTGTAGACTAGATTGATGTATGCTTTCAAAGTAGATGATGGTTTTGCAGTGTTTAGTTTAGTTGGCTAATCAAATGTTATAAGGTTTTATGAATTAGAAACATTTCATGTAAGTTACTGAAAACATGAGGACTTTGTTCCAAGTCTATTTCATTCATGTGTGATACAATCCAAGATGCAGTAAAGTACTAATCGTATAGCTTTCAGGATCCTAAGTGCTGTAATGTTCAAATAATTTCTTCAGATGTGCATGTCTCAGTCAAACAATTAGACACAATTGAAAAAATTCAAGTTCCCATTGTTGACATTTAAATATTAGTTAAGGATATCAATAGTTGGCTTTAAGTGAGTGTGATTATTGTTTCAAGAATTCTGTCTTCATTTCCAGGATTTAATCAACAAAGTTCGCAGGAAACTCCGATCACGTACTCCAAGTCCATCTTTACACCAACCTGTCATCTCTGCTCAGAAACAACACAAGTCGTAGCCAGATAGACTGACTCTGCCTTACTAGAATATGTGCTTATGTTTGTGATGCTGTCTTGGATGTGCTTGTCACCAGCTGTGATTGCAGCCAAATTGCAAGACAACAGAGTTATCTACCCCTGATTTCAGTCAGATTAGTGGGTGACTTGCTACACATTTTCATATTGAGATCCCATTGCCTAACAGGATACTTATATGTTGAAGTCTATCATGTGGAGGATTGTGGCTCTAAATAATCAGCAACAGTGCCCTGAATCTGTATTCTGAGTGAACGAAGAAGAGATTGTCTGGATATTCTGGAAATACATGTTCTGTAGGCCCATGCTGGAGTGTATGTGTGCATGTGTACAGTGGTGGTAATTTAAACTATATACAGTATAACTTCCAGACACAGGAGCTAACGCAACCCCAGCATGTACTTATCATTGTTAGCTGACTGAATAAGGTCAGTTTTCAGAATTTCAGCCAGAGACAAGGTCCATAGAAGTTCTGCATCGCATCAGGTTTTCCTGCAAGTGATCTAACTGAAAAACTGTTCAAAGCTGTGTTAAACCCATCTCACTTAGAGAAGCAGTTGCCTTTATCAGTGTTGCACAATGTGCAAGCTACTTGTAATAAACATGGGTTGCAGTATGCGTGGCACAAGGCTTTTATAATGTATGTCCGAACATCAGTACTTTGTGTGTACAAGTACCCAGCATGCATTTGGGTGTTCTTGTGACCCTGACATTCCACAGTACATATGTGTGTATGATCAATACATCTGTGTGTTCTAGTACATCCACGGAGGTGTTGTAGGAACCCCTGTTAGTATGTGAAGTGTGGCCTTCAGTGTTATAGTCGCCTTGAAGCCCTGTGACAAGTAAAATACTGAAGAAGTTGAGGTACTGGGTTTCTTTTAAAAGTTACCAACATTGATTTTTCAGCATAGATAGATGTTTTGTTACTTTCTTACTTCTAAGAGAAAACGACAATTAGTGTCTTTTCCTGTCGTTATTCTGATGTTAATAATCTTGAAGAAATCGAGCAGCTAGATCACAGTGGTATGTGGAGTTTGAGGACCTTGGAACAAACTGAGGACTGGTACCTGAAGTTCTGACATTTTCTGACCAATTTTATTTCTTGTTTTACGGATTTACATTAGTATATATATATTTTTGAGTGGAGAAATTTTATTTAATTTTTTTTCTTATTCTTGAAAAAAATATGACCGGCAGATCCATAAAACAAGAAATAAAATTGTTTTGGCCTAATGTTTTTAACACTGTTTTTCACATTCATTACATACCTTTTCAGTTTTTTAGTTGTTTGGGAGTTTACGAGTAAAGTTTAGTTGGAAATAAATATGAAAATGCCTTGTTAAGTATTGTCAAATCACAGCCCAAATTGTTTAAGTTTTGTGTTTATACAACACAAGAGATAATCATGGTTACCATTAATGTCATTAAGACCATACTAGATCCAGAAGTCTTTGGCACCCATTTTGCTGTGAAGAGTTGTCTTTCTTTAATGTGCAAGGATACTATATGATTATGGTTTTGAATACCCGATTTACCAAAATTATTATTCCTGGCTTTATAGCACCATGGGTTTCGCCAAAGCAGAAAATATGTAAAGTCTGACACATTGTAAGATTCCGTATCACATCAGGCTGCATTCTCTTCCCACATAGGTTACTTGTCATATCTTCCTACGAACCTCTGTTCTAATATGGCCCTTTCATGGTGCGAGTGTTCAGGATTCGTGATTGGTTGCAATCAGATTTAGTTGTGCAATCAGCGACGTTGTTTCAAAAGTGATCTTTCGCAAGGCCTCGGTTATTTCCGTATGCTTCGGGAAAACTAGAACCTCTTTCCCTGCGCGATGCGCAAACGTTTCTTATAGACAAAACTCAGTCATGTAAATGGCGGATCAATGGCGTCTCCATCGCCCTAGTTGACAACGGACAAGCTAGCCATTAAATGTCTTGTGTGTCACATCAACACACGGTCCTGGCAGAGGAGGGATATTTGTGACCCAACATTTGCTTGTATTAGTCAAGTTGATGTAACACATGTTCTGATTGGACAGAAAGAAGGGAGATAATTCGAGTTGCGATTTTATGCCGCTAGGGGATTTTACGAGAACCGGGAAATATGACCGTATTAGAACAGAGGTTCGTAAGAAGAAATGACAAGTAACCTCTGTGGGAAGAGAATGACCAGGCTGATATACTGTGATATAATTCATATTCTGTTCAAGGATGCAATAAACACACTGATGCAGTTGTCAGGTTGACTTTAATGAGTTCATGGTCAGCATTTAAACATCACAGACATGATGAATATAATATCGTCTTTAGAACTTCTATCAGAACCGCAGAATTATGTAAGCATTTTGTTAGAGCTGGTCGTCAGGGTATAAACAGGATGCTTACAATTACATGTGATGAAGTCCTTATTCTGAACAATATAGCTAAGGCCAGACCAATTTTATTTCTTGTTTTACTGATTTTTGTCTTCAGGAAACCTAAACGCAGGAACAAAAATATTTTAAAAAATAACTGGTCAAAGTAATATTCCTTTTAAATACTAAAAGTATTTTACTTTGGGCAGTTTATGAAGTGTATATGGGGCTAAAAAACAATCTAAAAAATATTTTTGGTAAGTTTACATTTTGGGCCAATAAAATATTTTTGAGCGGGGAAAGTTAATTTTTATTTCTTTTCTTATTCTTGCAAAAATATGACTGGTGGATCCGTAAAACAAGAAATAAAATTGGTCTGGCCTGAAAGAACCTTCAAAATATTTAGAAAAATATTTCTATATTTCTTTGTGCCACTGTTGTCATCACAGATGTTTATAATAGACAGAAATAGGTTTGTGTATGTTGGTCTGTTATTAATGTCAGGATGCACGAAAGAAATCTCACAAAAGCTCACATAAATCGAATCCGTGTTAATAAGCTACTTCCTTAAATGTTGCTGACACTGCATTTAATTTTGTCCTCTCGGCAATTATTAATGACGTTTCCTTGGAGACGTCAATATGTCAGTGTCATAACATCACAAGCGAAAGTACACTATTCAAATACTGTCTGTGAAAACAACTGCTAATGAAAAATAAATTCCCTTCCTTTCATAATATCTGTGGAGGATGTCAAATCTGTGTCAGGGTAAATAGGTTAGTGTTCTGTTGATAACATAAAGAGGGGATGATTGACGGACAATACACGCTGCTTTGATTCTGTCCTACATAATTTTTGTGCTGTGCAGGCAACATAGAAGATAAGATATATTGCTCATTCACTAATGAGAGCAGTATGTACTATTCTTACAACAATTAAACAAAATTACCTCTAAATAAATAGAAAATTGAATAAATAAATTGTTAGTGACACCATGGCATTGGAAGGGCTTGCCAATCAACTGAAAACTAGGCGACATCTGATGGTGATCTGTGCTTTCTGATTGGCTGGTAATAGTCACAATGCTTGTGCTGTCATTGTCTTAAAAGATGTCACTTATTCGGGTTTTTTGTCTACAATCTTTTCGTGTAAATCATTGTAACAGGAGCCTGTGAGCTTTATATCTCCATAATAACAATACATGCTGAAGTAATAACAAAATATGCTGAAGTCATTTTTTAGATGATTAACCATTACTTATCCTGCCCCTCTGTTAAAAGCAGAACTTCATGACTAACAGTACTCCAAGTTTGTTTCCTTGGTTACAGATCAAAGACTGAGGGAAAATGTGGCCACTCACAAAATTAGTATGAAAAGGTTTCCAAAATATGAAATAAAAGTGGCAAAAACTGGAAGCAACAGGAATAGTGTGTATGAGAAATAATTAATATATTCCATACCAGATAGATTTAAACCATGAAAAATAAAGTATTCTGAAACATGTTTTTGACGAATTGTATAGATTATAGATATAATGCATTTAAGCAAAAAAATGTCTAATGTTTTGTTTAGTTATTATAACGTGCAAAAGCATTTTGTATAGTTTAGTTGTTTTCCTAAGCATTTAAAGTATATTGTTCTGTATCCCAGCATTTATCATGTACAGTATTAATATATGTTTATACAGGCATTCCTCTCCCATTTCACAGATTCCAAAAGAAAAGGTCTTTAATCTTTTCTTGCTCTCCATTTTAATGGTTGATATTAGATAACTCTGATCTCACACATAGCAGTTGTCGTTGAAGTCAGTTGGAGATGCTTGATGCCGTTGTTGTTGTCGTTGTTAGCCAGGTTGTTGATGTTGACAGTGTATGATGTTTCAATGTGATACCTGTACTCTATGCATTTTCCTATGAATATATGTGCTCATTACACAGACAATGGAGGAAGTTTGTAAGGAAATAAATCATGGACTATTTTGGAAAGTTGTTTTTTTCCTGGGGAATTGTGTGCATGCTATGTGTGGGATGCCACAAGAATCACCTGAACTGAACCCTTGGGAAACAGGGATGTACACCTCATGATTCTGTTCATATGATCATGCTTATCTTGACAAGACTTATCTTGAGGTATGTGTATAACAAGACTTATCTTCAGGTATGTGTGTAACAAGACTTATCTTCAGGTATGTGTATAACAAGACTTATCTTCAGGTATGTGTATAACAAGACTTATCTTGAGGTATGTGTATAACAAGACTTATCTTGAGGTATGTGTATAACAAGACTTATCTTGAGGTATGTGTATAACAAGACTTATCTTCAGGTATGTGTATAACAAGACTTATCTTGAGGTATGTGTATAACAAGACTTATCTTGAGGTATGTGTATAACAAGACTTATCTTGAGGTATGTGTATAACAAGACTTATCTTCAGGTATGTGTGTATAACAAGACTTATCTTGAGGTATGTGTATAACAAGACTTATCTTCAGGTATGTGTATAACAAGACTTATCTTCAGGTATGTGTATAACAAGACTTATCTTCAGGTATGTGTATAACAAGACTTATCTTCAGGTATGTGTATAACAAGACTTATCTTCAGGTATGTGTATAACAAGACTTATCTTGAGGTATATATAACAAGACTTATCTTGAGGTATGTGTATAACAAGACTTATCTTCAGGTATGTGTATAACAAGACTTATATTGAGGTATGTGTATAAAAGACTTATCTTCAGGTATGTGTATAACAAGACTTATCTTCAGGTATACGCATGATGATCCTCTTCCTCACATGGGTACAATGTGTGAAGCCCATTTCTGGTTAAGCCCAGAGTTAATCTTCCACTGAGGTGAACAAACTGTTATTACCTGGAAAGATGTAAGCTCAAAAGTTCCATAAGAACAGCGCATCTGGCATGTGCAACATGAATGAGTGAGTGAGTATGGTTTTACGCTGCTTTTAGCAATATTCCAGCAATATCACGACTGGCGACAACAGAAATTGGCTTCACACATTGTACCCATGTGGGGAATCGAACCTGGGTCTTCGGCGTGATGAGTGAATGCTTGAACCACTAGGCTACCCCACCGCCCTATGCAACATGAGCCACAAGGGGTTCACAGTGTCAGTAGCCCGCTTGTCCACCGTGTGCATTGATGCACCTTCTATCATTAAGGTCTCTAAACGTCAATGAAAGTCACGAGGTAGATCATTCCATATCCAAAGGACTTGAGTTCTTGCAACGTTCGAGGATTCGGATAACGTCACAAACGTCACTCCATATCATTGGAGACATTTTCAAAGGGTGACAAATCAGGGGATCTGTCGGACTTGATCACCACATTAACATTGTACTGATTAAGGTAAGGCTGTACAACTCGAGCAAGGTGTGGTTTGTAGTTTTCAGGTTGAAACGTCACTCCAGGCGTTCTGTTGCAAAAACGGTAAAGCGGCCATTTGCAAATGTCTCGGTAAGTAAAATATTGAAGTTACCCTTAATCACAATCATTGGCGGGGCGGTGGGGTAGCCTAATGGTTAAAGCGTTGGCTCGTCACGCCGAAGACCCGGGTTCGAATCCCCACATGGGTACACTGTGTGAAGCCCATTTCTGGTGTCCCCTGCCGTGATGTTGCTGGAATATTGCTAAAAGCGGCGTAAAACCAAACTCAGTCAGTCAGTCATTGGCGTCCTTGACCAGCTGTTATCCCACCCGAGATCATAACGTCCCACCTTCAA